TACAGTCTATAGGAGGTGGGGTATCAAATACATTAGGACCGGAAATACCAATCAAATAAGGTGGGAGTGAAAAAGAGCTGGAGTGCTGCTCTTTAGGAGAGAGCAAGAGACAGATATGTAAGGTAGAGGTTGTTCTGGCAGGCCATAAGCTTTCCTAAAGAGATAGGTTTTAAGGCACTGTTGACTTTTTCTTGTTCTAAATCTTGAATGAACAGGTTCAAATGGCTATTATTAAATGCTGAAGTCTGGGAGCTCACTCACAGTGCGTCCATTCACATTGCTCGCTAGACCACGCCCCCAATTCATGTATATTTATATCTATTAATTTAACCCCTTAAATCCGGAGGGCGTACTATTACGCCCTGCAGGAGCCGGCTCTAAACGCCGGCGGGCATAATAGTACGCCCTCACTTTAATGGCCGCCCACGTGGCCGGCGCTATTCGCCCGCTGCAGATCGCGGTCGGGGGGGATGCCCGGCCCCCCAGGCAACCCCCCCCTGTGGCCGGTGACCGCGATCTGCAGTCACTGATCGCAGTGACAGGCTGTCACTGCGATCAGTTTGTAACGTGTGTCAGCCAATTTCAAATCGGCTGACACACGTGGCCAGCGGCTCTCCCCGTGCAGATCGCGGTCGGGGGACTTACCTGGCCCCCCAGGCAGTCCCCCTGGGGTCAGTGACCGCGATCTGCACCTTCTGAGATCGCAGTGACAGGCTGTCACTGCGATCTCAGAGCGCTCTGATCGCAGTGACAGCCTGTCACTGCGATCAGTGTTACATGTGTCAGCCTATTGGCTGACACATGTAACTGGCACAAAGATCCCCCTGCAGATTGGAAGGGGGGAGTGCTTGTACCACCCAGGCACTCCCCCCTGTGGCCAATTACCCAATCTGCAGGAGGTGATCACAGTGACAGGCAGTCACTGTGATCACTGATCCTGTGTGTCAGCCAGTGATGTAAAATCACTGGCTGACACTGTCTCTGCCCCCTGTCCTGTGAAAAAAAAAAATATTAGTTAAAAAAAAAAAATTACAGTTACAAATAAAATATACTTAGATCATATATATTATATATATGATCTAAGTATATATATATATATACACACACACACACACACATTTACACATGCACGAAGTGTATTTAAATATTAATATATATAATTATTTATATATATATTACTATCAAATTACACGTAGACTAATACTGATTAAATATATATATATATAGTTATTGTTATATATATATATTTATATATAATATAAAAAAATGTAAATACGTAAAAAAAATTAAATTAAAAAAATAATTAAAAATAAATAATAAAAAAATATATAGATGTTTGTTATTTCGTTCTAACTGTATTGTGATATTAATATATATATATATTTATATAAAAATACACGTAGAACGAAATAATATATATCTATATACATAAATATATACATATATATCACTAAATATATTCACCTATATATAAATAAAAATATTTTAAAAAATTATATATATATGTATATATACACATATGTATATATATATACATATATTAATTCTACACATATATTTATGTAATATTTTTACATAATTAGGTATCCTAATTAATTACAATTAGCGGGACCTGCCTGACAACCCATGCCGAAAGTATAGGGAATTTAATTTGCTAGCACTATATTTAACCTTATAACTTTCCAAGACACCATAAAACCTGTAAATTGGGGGTACTGTTTTACTCGGGAGACTTCGCTGAACACAAATATTAGTGTTTCAAAACAGTAAAATGTATTACAACAATGATATCACCAGTAAAAGTTTTTTGCATTTTTCACGCACAAACAGCACTTACACGGATGATATTATTGCTGCAATACTTTTTACTGTTTTGAAACACAAATATTTGTGTTCAGCGAAGTCTCCCGAGTACAACAGTACCCCTCATGTACAGGTTTTATGGTGTTTTCAAAAGTTACAGCGTCAAATATAAGGCTTGTGTTTCATTTTTTTTTCACATTAAAATTCGCCAGATTGGTTACGTTGCCTTTGAGACCCTATGGTAGCCCAAGAATGAAAATTACCCCTATGATGGCATACCATTTGCAATAGTAGACAACCCAAGGTATTGCAAACAGGGTATGTCCAGTCTTTTTTAGTAGCCACTTAGTCACAAACACTGGCCAAAATTAGCGTTTTTTGCATTTTTCACACACAAACAAATACTAACGCTAACTTTGGCCAGTGTTTGTGACCAAATGGCTACTAAAAAAGACTGGACATACCCCATTTGCAATACCTTGGGTTGTCTACTATTGCAAATGGTATGCCATTATGGGTGTAAATTTCATTCCCAGGCTATTATACAGTCTCAAAGGCAACGTAACCAATCTGGCGAATTTCAATTTCAAATGTAGCGTGCTATATTTGACCCTGTAACTTCCCAAAACGCCATAAAACCTGTACATAGGGGGTACTGTCTTACACGTGAGACTTTACTGAATACAAATATGTGTATTTTATTGCAGTAAAAGCAAACAGTATTATGACACTGACCGTTAAAATGTCATGTAGAACTAAAAAAATCAAAAAAATCTTATTTTCTCCCATTTTTTTCATATTAAATTATGTTTCATAGCTAAATATTTGATATTAAATGAAAGCCCTGTTTCCCCCTGAATAAAATGATATATAATAAGGGTGGGTGCATTTACTATGAAAGAGGTGTATTACGGTTGGACAGACATGTAGCGCAAATGCCAGGTTTTGTTTACATTTTGTTTCGTTCACACTGTGTACATTTGGCTCCGTCCTTAAAGGACCACTATAGTGCCAGGAAAACATACTCGTTTTCCTGGCACTATAGTGCCCTGAGGGTGCCCCCACCCTCAGGGTCCCCCTCCCGCCCGGCTCTGGAAGGGGGAAAGGGGTAATAACTTACCTTTTTCCAGCGCTGGGCGGAGAGCTCTCCTCCTTCTCTCCGCCTCCGATCCGCCCCGCCGGCTGAATGCGCACGCGCGGCAAGAGCTGCGCGCGCATTCAGCCCGTCGCATAGGAAAGCATTTACAATGCTTTCCTATGGACGCTTGCGTGCTCTCACTGTGAAAATCACAGTGAGAAGCACGCAAGCGCCTCTAGTGGCTGTCAATGAGACAGCCACTAGAGGATTAGGGGGAAGGCTTAACCCATTCATAATTATAGCAGTTTCTCTGAAACTGCTATAATTATGAAAAAATGGGTTAACCCTAGAAGGACCTGGCACCCAGACCAGTTCATTAAGCTGAAGTGGTCTGGGTGCCTAGAGTGGTCCTTTAAGGGGTTAAGTATCTGTATTGGGTTTTGTGAATTCAATGAAACATACAATACTAAATTCTAAAAATGTTATGTTTGAAACTCTAATGCATATAAAGCAGTGGTTCCCAAAATGTTTAGGTTCAAGGCGTACTTAATATTTAAATTTTTATTCCTAGGTTGTATAAGAACAGTGCTATATTATGATATATATGGTTGGTGTTTGGTTGGGTTCTTGTATATACTTTTAGTGTTTTAGTACAGGGTTGTGTTTGTATGTAATATTTGTGTTAGATTGCAGGAGTGGGTTTATATATTCTGCTGGTGTTTGACTACCTGGTTGTATGCACATACACCACTACATACATTCCATATTTACTCAAATTTAATGAGCCATCGAATCTAATGCGCACCTCAATTTTTTACATCTGGAAGCTGAAAAATGTTTTGCTGGCGAATGTAATGCGCATTCATAGAAGAAGATACTACTATACTTTAAAATGTTCATAGTAACATTGATGGTATTTCAAATTTAGTGTTACATGTTAAGTCTATTCTTTCTTAAGCTCTCATTCAGGAATGACATTTGGATAGGTGAATTTGTCTGTGTGAATACACTGGAATGAAATTCACCAGTTTGAATTCATGAATTTGTCAGTTGGACTTTGTTTCAATTCATCTGTTTTAATTTGTCTGTTTCATTTAATTTCAATTTGTCTGTTTCAATTCACTTGTTTTAATCCACCAGTTTTAATTCACCTGTGTCAATTCGCCAGAAAATTTAAAATTTTGTCCCAAATGTAATGTGTCATTGAATCTAATGCACATTCACATTTTGGAAACTTTATTTTCCAAAAAAGGTGCACTTTAGATTAGAGTAAATATGGTACTTACTCAGATGTACATAAACATTAACTCACAGATACATATAAATACACTGACACATACATACACTGATATATACCCATACAAACACTGAAACATGCACACATCATGACACACATATAAACACTTTGAAACACAGATGCACATACACAGATGCACATATACAGATGTACAGATGTGTGCACATACACTGGCACACACATTGACCTATATACACACAAACACAGATGCACACACACAGATACACACATATGCACAAACATACTGATACACACATACAGATGCATACACCCCCAGACAAACAACACTATGGTGGCCAGGTTACAGTCTTAACCCCTTAAGGACACATGACATGTGTGACATGTCATGATTCCCTTTAATTCCAGAAGTTTGGTCCTTAAGGGGTTAAAGGATTGCGGCACCCGACTGGGCCCCTGTTCAGCAGAATTGTTTCCTGGTGCTATCATAGCACTGGGGAGACATTTTGCTGCACCCCTGTGTGCCAGTCAAGGCGCCCCAGGGCGTTGCCGCACACAGTTTGGGAAACACTGATATAACGTTTTTGCAAACTGAAGACAAATCAATTTTGGAGGGTTTTTTTTTTAGCATCACCCGTTTCAAAAACAGATTGAACCAACATGTATTTGTATTGGGTATAAAACAAATGTATTTATTTTGAAATGTTTTATTTAATATGTGTGATTGCACTTAAAATGGAAAACTGCAACAAAACAAGCATGTATTATTTTGGTTATGAAGTTAGACAGTTGCCTTAGTCCTCAAAGTGTTAATATATGGGATGTGAAGGGATCGATTAAAACAGGCTTCCCCAAACTATGGCCCTCCAGATGTTGCTAAATTACAACTCCCATGATTCTCTTTTTCATTAATAGAATTATGGGAGTTGTAGTTTAGCAACATCTGGAAGCCTGGATTAAAGAGACACTCTAAGCACCAAAACAACATTAGCTTAACAACATGGTTTTTGTGTATATTACATGATTCTTCAGTCTCACTGCTTAATTTTTTTCCATTTGAGTTAAAGGATCACTATAGGGTCAGGAACACAAACATGTATTCCTGACCCTATAGTGTTAACACCACCATCTAGCCCACCTGGGCCCCTCATGCCTCCATAAATATAGTAAAAATCTTACTGTATTCAAGCCAGAAGCTGTAACTCTGCATGATGTTTGCCTAAAAAAAAAAAAAAAAAAGTCTGCTGACATCAGAAGTTGTAGCCTGATCCAATCACAGTGCTTCCCCATAGGACTGGATGAGACTGACAAGGCGGCAGATCAGGGGCAGAGCCAGCATGATTCAAACACAGCCCTGGCCAATCAGCATCTCCTCATAGAGATGAATTGAATCAATGAATCTCTATGAGGAAAGTTCAGTGTCTGCATGCAGAGGGAGGAGACACTTAAAGGGACACCGTAGGCACTGTATCTGCTTCATCTCATTAAACTGGTTATAGTGTCTGGAGTCCCCTGGTGGCATCATTTCTTTCAGCATTAAACAGTTTTTAATGTTGTAATGTGTTACTGCTAAACAAGAGACCCCGGCAGTCCATCCCCTTTGTGCTGCTTTGGCTAATAAGGAAGTGTTAGCCTGAGCAGCAATGGGCAGCTGTGATTGGCTGAGAGTGTCAGCTGACTGCTTTTAGCCTGTCAGAGCTCCAACTGACGGTATGAATGGGTATGACAGCAAGGAAGTGTGTAATCTCTGCCTTAGCTACACATACAGTAGGGGCCGGACGGTGGGTGGCCAGGGACTCTTATTTTGTGGCATACTGCACAAACATGGTGCAACACTGAATGGAGGGACAGTGCCTGGCCACTCCAGGCACTATAACCAATTCAAAGAGACAAAGTGGTTATAGTGACTATAGTGTCCCTTTAATCACAGGATGCTGTGCATAGTGCTGCCCTGTGCTCTGCTGACAGCAGACCTGAGTGGATGGAGGCATATTATGCCTCCATCAACTCTGAAGTCCCTCTTGTTCACTCTGAGTGACTGCAACTGGAGGTGTTCCTAGCTTTCAATGTAAACATTGTATTTTCTGTGAAAATACAGTGTTTACATGAGAAAGGCTGAAGGGAGCTATAGTTCTCACGTGAACAACCTCATTAAGCTGAAGTTATTCAGGTGACTATAGTGTCCCTTTAAATCACTTTATTCACACAGCTGTTGCCACTAGTCCCTTTGCTGTGACTCACACCAATTTCATTACATACAGCCTAAAAAAGACTCCAATTACTTTTAGCGTTGCTTATTGTTCAAATTATATTTTTCTTTACATTACCAAAAACTAAAAATAGAGCTGCACTCAATACATAAATAAAAGCCAAAGTGCAACCAAACCTGGGGCCAGCTGCAAGGCCCATGAAGTTGTTTGTAGTTTGTAGTCACAGAAGAAAGCAAAAGGTCCAGGCACTCTAAGGCTTAGGTAGGCATTTTTATTTGAACTGCAGTCTCCTGCAGCAACATTTAGACCAAAAGGTCTTTTTCAAGCTAGACTTTTAGGTCAAAACGTTGCTGCTGAACACTGTAGTTCAAATAAAAATGCCTATCTAAAAAGTGCCAGGACATTTTTCTTTCTTCTATAATTTATATGTGTTGTAAGATCTGACTGAAAACAAAAAAAATGTTTCTTTTTTTTTAAGGCTGCATGAGTCACAGTCAGGGGAGATGTGGCTACAGCTTTGTAAACAGAAACTCAAGTGATTTAGCTTCTAAATGGCAGAGAAGTGAGCAGTGAAACTGCGGGGTTGTGTTTAATTAAGCTAAAGGTGTTTTGAAGCTTAGAGTACGTTTGTAATGATAGCATCTGAACAAGAAATATGTTTTGTAATTATACTTTAAAATTTTTAATAATTGACCATTTAATTGTTCCTTGCCTATGACTGGTTTATATAAATGTAACTTCTAAATGATTTTTATTCATTAAATGGCAAATTCTACAATATATGCAGCTCCCAATTCATGCCACTATTCTAAATAACAAAGGAAGAATTGGCAAGTTTTTATTAATTAGTAGACCTTATTATATAGTTGTCATAGTTTCTAAAGAATAATGCCTTTAATGAAATTAAATATTCTGGTAGAATAAATATCATGTGACATTACCATAGAACATTTTTTTTTCTCTTTCATTTTATGTGAAAACATGAGCATTCCAAATGTGAACATTAAAGGATGTTTGTTCAAGTATAAACAAGTTTCAGAGAATAATGCAGGTTGCAATTTTTTTCTGCAATTATTTCCCCTATACATTTACAGAGATCCTAAGTACTTCCCTTTCTGCTAAAAGCCATGTCTTGATGATAAAATGTGACCAAATTGTAATTGTATCTCTTTGGACTCACATCAAAGGCAATGGCAAAAATGACAGGTATTTTGTTACTGTTAAATAAGGATCTCCTCTCTTTTTAGACAGGTGACAATCAAGTTGACTGGGTAGAATCCAACATTCATCAGTGGGGTGTTTGTCAGTTTGAAAATAATTCAAATATGTCAAGTTAGGAACCAGAAATATGTTATATCCATTACATTAGGACACAGCGAGGCATGACATTTTATATTGATTCATGTCATTTCACATTGCATACCTTTGCATCAAATTGTGACAGAGGAAAACAGCATCTTTTCCTAGATAAAACATCTGAAGAGAAAATGTCACAGCTTAAAATAAACAGATAATTACATACATTGATTTTGAGAGAGCTTGTGTTATGCATACTGATATTGTACTTGTATATCATGCAGATTCATATCTTAAATAATGAAATTGTATGCGATATGGGCATACTTTGGTGAGCAGGTGGAAGAGATACATATATACTAAGACCCATTAAGTATAAGTGAAATCATATTATAAACACATTTTATTGCAATACAAATATAGCATATCAAATGTACTTGAGTTCTCATTTAAAAAAGAAGTTTGAAGTTGAAGGATATCACTTTGTCGATTAACATTGTCATGATGTTATATTGTGAATTTAAATTATGCATGTTTTTTTTCCCATAAGAGAGAAGTCTCAAAAAATTCATATTTTGTTCTTGCAGAACCGATTTAAATATACAACTGTTTGGTCCTGCTGAAAGAATCAATTTTGGATTTAATGCAATAATCTGTGTAAAACCCTATATATTTCCACAGCAAATATTTTTCTATTTTGTTTAGACACAAAGTTACCATTAAAGTGTAAATGGCAAATATTTTCAAGATAAATAGTGTAAATTAATGCATTCTGAAACCATATACACTACATTTAAATTAATGGGGCACAAAAGGGAGTGATTCCATGCTGCCTTATGGGTAATCCAACTTTGTATCAATGTCGCTAAACACCATTTCAGAATACAAACACAATTTTGTTAAATTGAGGGTGCATCAAAATCTTGTATTTCATAATAGTGGAACTGTCATAATTACCAAGATCAATACAAAATTCAAATTAAATGGACACTATAGTCACCAGAACAACCAATGCACTGGAAAATTCAAGGAAACCTAAACAGTGCTTTTAAAACTATAGCAGCAGGAATACATGTTTGTAGTCCTGACACTGTAGTGTTCCTTTAACCCCTTAAGGACACATAATGGAATTTTTTCTTATCATGCTGGTCCTTCACTTAAGGACACATGACAGAATATGTCCATCATCCCTGCTGGTAACTGGGAACCCCAGCCAGAATTAGTGAAAAATATTGGCGAAAAAAATGTCACTTCAATAAAGCTCAAAATATATTATGGGAAAGTCCCCATTGGTGTCTACTTTTGCAAATGGTGTGCATTAAGGCATAATTACAATTTCTAAGCTACTAAAATGCACCAAAGACCCATGTTTAATTTGCTATTTTTTTTACAAGACATACATTGAGGCATTGTTTTATTCAGAAGAGTTTGCAGAGCATAAATTTGGGAGTTTGATCACAGTGGAGAATATCAAATTTGAAAAATGGCCAGCAAACATTTAGTGTATGTCAAAATGCAAAAAAACAATTACCACAAAGTTTGACATAAATTGGTGAAATAAATAAATAATGTTAAGGCATAATATACATCATATTAATACCCGGAAGTGTTTACTTTCACAAATAGTAGGCCTTTGTGGGGTAATTTCAACAGTCAAACTGCTGCAAGGCACCACAATGAGACTTACACTCATCAAATTCATCTATCAAAATTTAAGATTATGCTGGCTTTAGTGTACCTATAATCTTAATTTTAATAATGACAGGATGTGATAATCTTTCTTTACTTACTCCCCAGCAGAAAAGAAATCATAAGAAAACAGAGAACCAATCAAAAGTCAGTAACAGATATGTGAGGCGTGTGTAACCGTAGCAACTTCTCTAATCTGCGACATCACAAGTCCAACAAATCAACATTCTTGCTAAAGAAGGTGATAGATCGTTAGTCCAACAGTAGGAAATGTCTGAAACATGTAACCTGGCTGATCTATGCTAGATAATTATAATATAAGTGATAACCCAAGAAGAAAACCACTTAATGATAACTAACTAAACAAAACAGTAACCAAAAACCCACCATAATGCAATATTATCAAAAGTATTGGAGACCAATAGAAACAAGTCACTGAGCATAAGTGACACAAAAATAAAATTCAGAGAAGGAGAATAGAGATGGAAAAAACAGAATGAAAGGGTGGGCAAGAAAATTGGAAATAGGGTGGAAAATATTTGCCTCCTGTCATATAGGTACACTAAAACTAGCATCATCTTCAATTTTATAGCATGACAGAAGGCTTCATATTGGCAATTTCAATGCTGAGAGAGAAGAGAAAAGGGCTGTGTTCGAAGAAGGTTAGAAGAAGAAAGTTCGAAACGTGGACTCTCGCGTCCAATCTGCAGTATGGAAAAGTATGGAAAATGTTTGCCCCTCAGACAGAGTGTGC